GGGGGGTGTCTTATGACTTCTGAGGGCCTGCAGCAGACACTAACGCCTCAGGCCTGCAGCGTGGCCCAGGCTAGTCCTGCCTGGCTCTGGAAAGCCCTGGGGCAACCAGGAAGGCTGGGGAGAAGGGAAGGTCCATCCAGTCCAGGTTCACGCTCTTGATTTGCATCTATGGATTGTTTAAAAACGCACCTTTTTTATTTCTGCTTCGGGTAGACTTTTTGTCTTCTTCCCACTAAGATCCCAAATTCCTGGAATCTTATTTTTGCAATTCCATGAGCACATACCTCATTTTAACAATGAAGGTGGGAAACACCATTATATACTGGCATTACTGATCTCTGTTAAATATCAGAGCAGCAATGAGGGATGCTAAGTGCCCAGCTGTCTACCTTGATTTCCCATATGACTGCAGGCAAATCATTTAATAGCATTTCCCTCTGTCAAATGTGAACGATAAGGCATGAAGTGAAAGATGAGTTGCCTCTTCACAGGTTGTGTGACAAAAGTGGTCACAGTGGCAGAACTGAAAAACAATCTAAGTGCTTACAGTGGTTACCTGGTTGGAAATAGAAACGTGGGTCTTGAAAAGCATATGATCCTTTTTTCCCCAAATCCTTAGAAGCATGGGAAAAAGTTCCATGTGAATTTGTAAGCTTTGCAAAAGCAGTACATGAGACTGCAAACTTGGTGCCCCCAGATTCCCCTGTTGTGGCTTCAATTGGCAGATTATTTTCTTCACATCTTGTCCTAACCTGTCCAGTAATGTTCCCCTTTAGAGGTAGCTGTGTTTTCATACAGGAATACAAAATCCACTTTTGTATCCAAGATGAACAGATAATCTGTCCTTTCTATAATCCTGCACAGTAGGCAAAAAAAAAAATCCCCACTTCTAGAGTAGAATGGAGACCTTAAGTTTGACTAGATAACAGGATAAACAGAGCAGATATGTTTAAGTACTACTGTTTTTATTCCATGCCTGTGGGGGGGAAAGAAAGAGTACTTCATGAAGAAGCCAGGAGTATCAAATAAGGGCTTTACTGTGAGAGGGGGATCACTAAATTGGCTTCCTACATTAGAATCACTCAAAAGTTCATTAGGATTTGTAAATATCTGTCATATATTTAACTGTTTATTTTTTCTTTACAGACAGTTACTTTCTGTCTGAATTGTGTTCTGAATTAATGGTATTTTTCTGGTCCCATTTTATAACTTGGAAGGGAAAAGAGGAGGGCAGCAGTATGAAGGGTATGTAAGTTCTATGCATAGGTTACAGGACACCCCCCCTCCTTTACACTTTTCATCACCCCATTTTCCTTTTTGCAAATAAATGGGTAAGTACAATAGAAGTAATTGTGGAAGTTTGCTACAGCAGTGAATGAACAACTGAAAATAAAAATACTGTGGCTACTGTATGCTACATGGATGAGTAAACACTGAACAACTAGAGAACAGTAAGTTTGCTTTTAATTGTTTTTTTAATTGGTTTATGCACAAAAAACTACACACACTGCAAGTTTTTTTCTTGAGTTTAATTGGGGCTTTATTACTCAAGCTGTGACTTCACAGTCTTCACCTTCAGCAATGCGTGAAGAGGAGGCATACAAGGAGGGTTACAACACTTAATGGAAGGGGCTCCCTACTTAACAGAAGGGAAGGGGGCAAGGCCAAGCCAGAAGAACTGGGAGCATTGATTTGTTCTTAAGTCTCATGTGAGGATTCCTGGAAAAGCTTGATTACTTTATTAAAAAAAAAAACGAACCCCAAAACAAAAACAACCCTAAGGAAATTAAATTTAGAAAGCAGAACCTGGGATTAAAGTGAATTGGAACCGGAAAGAGACAAACACCAATGGCAAATTGCAAAGAAACCAAGCATAATAAATCCTGACAGAACCCCAATAATAACAGAGGTTGAATGAATAAATAAAGTCCCTAGGATTAAACCAGATTTGTGCTGCCACTGAGCTTCTTCCACAGACACCTAAAGCTGTAACTGACTGTGGCCTCAGCCTCTGCTGCACTGAAGCCACTGTCCAACCAGGTAGAAAAATAAAGGTCTAATTCACTGGAAATTTTCATTTAAAAAACCTAATGGAATAGGGTTCGCGTTTAAGCTTCTGTGTCAACTTCTGGCTTATCTTCAACTCCATTTTGCTCATCTTTCATTTCTGCATCTTCAGGGTGGCTGGTTTGAAGAGTATCAGCTGACTAAACAGAGAGAGAGAAAGAAAAATACTCCTTTGTTAAACAAAGTTGCTAGAATTTGCAAACAATATCACAAACCTTATTTGGTGCCTGGTAGCCATTAGGCTGCGTCTCCCTACAAGACTGAAGTAAGATATCAAGAACCTTAGCCAAGAGAAACCAAAAGTTTCTTTGCATTTTTTCTGCATCTAAGAAACAAGGAGCACTTTATAAAGAGGGCTGAGCAGTAATACTGACATTAGGTAGTTATGATTCTTAATACTGCTTGCACAGGCTTCTTCTGGCATGTACATTTGCCACATAATACTTTGTTAATGTGTTCTTCCACAAACTGAAATTCATTTAGGACATCTCTGCACAGAACTGCTTTTGTCCTGCTTCAGCTTTAATACTGCTGTTTTCCCCCTTCTCCCATCCCTTAAGAGGGAAACATCTTCACAGCACACTTGGACTTGGTGAGGTGCTTCTTCACAACTTAAGACATTTGGCTTCATAAAGAATGTGGAAGAGTAATTTCAACTCTATGACAGACACCTAACTAAGCTCTCTTAAAGGACAGTCAGAAGAAAACCTATTGAGAACTTGGATCCCTCATCTTATATGACAAGGCAGCTATTCTAAAAACTCTCCTGGCTTGAAAATGGGCCTCTCCTTGAAGATGGTATTTCAAATGTTACAAGGGTGTGGAAGGCAGAGAGCCATGGGGTAAGTAAGAATACCAGATCTGTTCTACAGTAGGACATTTCCTACTTCTTGTGCATCCTGTCCTGCAACCTTTTAATACTTTTAAAACACAGTAAGGGGAGTGGGGTGGGGGAAAAGTGTCTTGTACTGCTCATCTCTCTAAGGTACTGCAATTAAATCGCTACTCTGCCTGTCAGCTTAGCACCCTGAACTGTCTGTCTTGCAATGACTTTAGATGAGCACCATACTAGAGCAAGCAAGGAGATGAGTGTGCACGGTTGGGTTGGCAGGGAGGGGTGTTGAAAGAGGTGTGGAATCACTAAATTGCATGTTACACCAGTTAGCTGCAACGTGAAACTGCAGCCAAAGAACAGCCAGGAATCAAAAGGTCAAGCTGATATTTCTTTCCTCTTTAGAAGCATTCTGTGAAGCACAACAGCAAAGTCTGCTCTCCATAGAAAATACCTTAGCTAGGAATCTTGGGCTCAAGAGAACATAATTAACATCTCGACCTTTAAAGATTCCTAACTCCATCCATGTATGTGAACTATCTAATTCAGGGAAAGGATTACTGAATCAAGAGTGGCTATCTTGAACTCCAGCAGAGTGTAAGATCTGTAGATTTCAGGAATTTCAGAACCATAATCCAAATTGCTTTCTTAGGAATCAGAAGACATTTGCTGAACAAACCCTCTTCTTCAAAGCTGTTGAACTTCTCCACCAGACAAGAAAAAACAGCTGGAGCTAGAGTAAGGTAACCAAGACAGCTGATAAAGTAATAGGAAAACTTTTTTTTTTTTTTTGCAAGAACTCCTCCCATGACAGACCCAGGGAATAAGTGTCCTTTGGCTACAGTTCCATATGGCATCTTCATATAAAATCACATAAATTTTAAGTAGCTCCCCCAGAACAGTGTAACCACATGCAGATCTCCAAGATCATCTGACTACTGAGATGAATGAACCAAACCGATGCTACCCCAAAGTACATGGGAAAACTGGAACAAAGTTTGCTGTCTTCACAGTATCTCCAACTGTATGCAATGCCTATGGGCCTGCCTTTCACTAAGAACAGAACTCTGCTAACTACTTAGGGGCTGAGGTGTACGTTTCGATAAACATGAAGATAACCCTTGTGTACTTTTAAGTATAGGGGGCATAACTTGTTTCAGTAAATCAACTCTGCCTCATTGAATGAGAGCTGCCTCTGAGTGAAGGATCTTGCAGTGTTCCACACCGCGGGGGAAGCCAGACTCCCAAGTTATGCTACCCGAAAGAAACATGAATGGCAGAGCCTGATAGTAGGCGATTAAGAACTGCAAATTCACAGGTGAAGATCCCTAACAGTGAAATAAAGATACAGTAACTCAATTAGAGTGATCTTGCTGAGATATTTTTATTAAAGCCTCCAGCAAGCAAGCACTGCTGCGGCTCTCAGGCTGCTTTAACCAGGTATCTAACTACCTTACTCATGAGTAATGCTACTTTCCTTGCAGAATTGGTGCGGAATTGTCCACCTTTATGGTTTTGTTTATACTCCCTTGTGAGAAGGGGAACCAGATCCACAGAGCCACTGCTATTCTTTAAAAAGAGAACAAAGCATCCCAAAATAGAACACTCAGCTCACCACATCATCCAGTTATGGGCAATTATCCCACAAGTAGTATATGACTACTTTAACAGAGTAAATGTAGATGAAGCATGGGATACAATCCCCACTGTTTCTAGGCTAAAAATTAATTTCAAATACATCCCACTTTGAAAGACTGGCAGGGGGGAAAAAGAGGAAGGGGTTTGTGAAGCATTTAGTATAGCATACAGTCAACTAACACAATTTGAGATAGCAGAATTCTGTCAGGATAGTCTCATTCCATCTGAGGACAGAGGGCTCCAGGATACTTAGTGACACAAAGCACAGGCTAAACGACAGGAAATTGACATACCAATACTTGAATCTAGGAGTTGTTTTTTTGTTTTGTTTTTGTTTTTTTTTTTTAATATATTCTCTATGCATATCCTGGGAAGATAGGGATAAAGATCTATGGAAATAACCTCGTTGACAGGCAAATTTCTACACTGCTCAACGTTACTGAGAAAACTGAGTCCAACACAGATACCAGATTTCTCTTGGAAGTTACACATTTACTCTGTCTGGGGCCATCAGATTTAAAGAAAACAGATGAGCATTTTCTTGGGTTATGAGATTCTCACAGGTAATACTGAATATTTCTTGTTGGCTGATATATCCTATTATTATAATGGCAGTATTTGATTACATGTTAACTGAACTAGTATTTGCTAAAATTTCAGTGAAAACTTAGTAGGAAAACCATCCATACAGTAGAATAAAGAATCTTCCGACAGCCCAAAGAGATAGCTCAAGATTGACACTTCAAAAAAGTGAATCTGTGACACTAGTATGCGGTTGATGCTCTCCGTGTTAAGATGCTCTCCATCTTACATTTGTCTCCATGAGAAGCAAGACAATTCTCAAGGTTTTGCTCAGGACCCATCACTATACTATGAGAGGCATAAAGTCACAGCGGATGGACCACTCGGACATCAAAACAGACTGTTCTTTAGAACAATCAGTTTGAGGAGAAAAGGTGCTTCTTTCAGTTCAGATCATGTTTGCATCTCATCACTTCAATTGCTCACTGACATTAACAGTGCTTTGCTGCAAGATCAGCTGAAATGAAGTAAAGGCATCCTGTGCAATGCTTGGTACTGCTAGTTTTCTTGTTCAAATAAGATGGCCTGAAAATTGTGCGTGTTGGCCATTCCCATTTTTCAGAGGTAGCTACTTCAGTGCTCTCCCATTGTGCTATTTACCTGTACTAAAAAGTAAGCTGAATACACTAAAAACTCACTATCCCTTCCCTAACCACAAGACGATGACATGCATTTTCTGGAGTAGTGTCACCTACCTTAAAGTCTTTGTCCGCAAGCCTTTGGAACATGTTGGCATACATCTTTTTCTCTTTCTCGCGCTGCTCCCGTATTTTTTGCTGACAAGTTACTAGTTGCACTTTGGCAGCTTTGTTACTTGGGTAAAGTTGTATCACTTTCTGGAAATCATCCCGGGCCAATTCAAAGTCATTAACAGCCAGGTGGGCTTCCCCACGTCGGAAGAGGCCTTTTTCGTTGCTGCTATCCAGCTCGAGGGCCTACATAAACAATTAATTCAAGAATTCCCCCCCCCCCCCCCCCCAAAGTAAAATCCAGTCAGATCACCAGAGACTCCTAGAAACTGGACTCTGATTCTGAAATGTGTGTCTCCTGGAATTCTGGGCTTACTATTAATAGAGAGGGTTGAATACAGTAGGACTTTAGACAGAGAACCAGGAAATCAGATGTTTAATCCTGGCTCTATTACCAGCTCTTTGATCTTTGCCAACACCACTACCTTTGCCTTGTCTACCTGTTTCTACTTTCTAAATGCTTTGATGTTCTCAGTTAACATACCAGCAAGTTATTAAAAGATATTCCAGGAACAATAACAATGAAAATACACTGCAGAATATTTGTACATTGTGTATTTGGTACTACCAATACCAGCTGGTAAGACAGGCTGAACAGCATGAGGTGTGAAGGATAAGCTGCACAAGCAAACTGACAAGAGTTTAAGAATACAAAAGCTCTTACTACCTTGTTGCAGTTCTCCAAAGCCTGGGAATACTCTTTCAGCTTGAGATGGCACATAGCTAGATTAAGGTGGGCAGCAAGCCTCAGGCTCTTGGCTTTTGTATCATCCTCATCAGAAAGTCCTGATTCATGCTCCAGCCATGACACAATCTTTTTATACTGTAATGTTGCTCGTTTGTATTTCCCCTCCTGTAAATACATCAGTTTAAACATCCACAGAGCTCACAGTAACTTTTAGCTGCCTCTTGCCCCTTCTGCTTACTTTGAGCAATGCCCCAGAGAAAACAATTTCAAGTAAACAAAGTAACTTCTTTCATCAAAAAAAAAAAAAAAATACAGTATTTGTCAGCAATTCCTGCATAGGGCCAGAAACTCTTTAGGAATCATACTACTCACTAAAGCTGTGGGCATAGGCCAGCACTGATACTTTGCTCTCAGCTCCCACCTTATACTCAACTTCAAATACAAAGGAAGATAGAGGAAGCATTCTCAAAGTATCAGCACTACCACTGACTGCACCATGAAGATCATGGGAGTCTCCCAGAGAAGGCCTGTCATGAACTGGTCAAGTCTTTTAAAATACAGCTTCTCCACACATCTGTACCCTAAATATATGTTTCTCATTCATAGCACTATCTCATAGCAGCAACTTCAAATACTGTAACCTTGCCACTAATCAGTGGATGCCCCAAAGCTAGGTACAGCAAAAAGCTTTGAGGGAGGGGGAAAAAAAAATGAGGAAAAAGCTAACTCTCTGCAGAGCAGCTAATACTTGAATATTGCAACACAGGCTCTCTGTGGGTACCATGAACAGCAGCTCATGACATGAATTATAAATGTTAACAGAACTTGGAGGCTGTAATTCACCTTGAAGTACTGAGTGCCTCTCTCCTTCACAATGCAGCTTTGTTCCAGCTTCTCTTCCGTGTTCATTTCCCAAGACTCTTTAGCCTAAACAAAAATAAAGAGTTCAAATAGAGGATGCAACTTGCCGGGGAAATCCACATGGCTATGCTGTTTCTCACTAACAGGTATGGTAAAGACAGGTTTGGCAAAGGAGAGTTGTGAACCGCTACTGAAAAAACAGAAACTGGGCTAGAGCAGAAAAGACACAGACCACAACAGACAGGAATCCAGTAATAGCAAGGGCAATTTCAGCCAAGAAATCTGTATGCTGTCACCATAACAATGGCTTCTCTATTTCAGATCAGAGTTCAAAGATTCCATCTTTCTTATTTAAGTTGCATCAACACCTCTTCCCCTACCTCCCAATCTGTTTGGGACTTCATCTCTCATTCTTACCTTTTCAAAGCTTTTGAGCTTCACTTCATACTGTAGCTCTGCATCTGGAGGGATCTGAAATTTCTCCTTCCCAGCACTTCCAAAACCATAGCTGTAAGATAGGGGGGGGGGGGGGGGCAGAGGGGGGGGGGGGGGGGGGGGGAGAGGGGAAATGCTCTAAAGCTGTCCAGATAACCATGCTTGCACATCAGAAGCTAGAGGCAAAGAAAACATGCAAGTCTGGGATGTCTATACAGCATTACTACGAGGCATAAGGGCTTGAAGAATTTTTCTTCTCTAAAATTATCAAGCACAAGGTAGAAGAAAGCTGGAGAAAAAAAAACTCATTTCCCGAATTTCTCTAGCCTTCAGGTTGCCAGTCCCAGTTTTTTAGCATATGTGAAGGAAAGGCACATTTTCTCCCCATTAAGGAAAATTACATTACATACATAACTTGCTTTACATTCATAGTCAGTCTCCAGATGTTCCTTTCAGAGTATCTGGATTTTAGTAACACTCTCAGAAAAGCAAACATCAGTGGTACATTCAGAAATTAAATGAACAAGCATACGCTTAAGATACTGCCAATCAGCTGATTGACAATAGATGGCTATAGAAAGGTTCTGCCCTGCAACTCTAGTAAGAGGCTGCATGTTAGCAGGAAATCCCTCAAGATCAGACTGCTTTGCTTTTCATCTTCCATCAGAACCCACTTCCTCTAAAATCTTAAAATAAAAACTAAAATAAATAAGTTTGATGGAAATAATCAATGGAAACTCCTCTCACTGGAAAGAGAAAATTCTGCTTATATCTTAGACCACTGAAGGCTACAATATTGGGATTTCAGACCTCTGAGATAACTGTTCTTAAAGAATGCCCATGATGGTCCGAAGTTTGGATAGAACTCTGCCTTATAGCTCAGGAAGGCCTTGAAGGTGAACATTTTCTATGAGCAAAGAGTATTTCTGATACTCTTTGCTAACCACATCACTAAGGACTAGCTGTCCTGTCTGACAGTGCTGCTCAGAAGGCTGATCAAGACTTTTCCCATTCTGAGGCTGTTCTCCAGCCTAGGTATCTTTATATGCACTGCTGCACAGTGAGTACTGTTTAGGTAAAAGCAGCAACAGGAATTTAAGTTAAGAAAATAGAACAACAGTATTTGTTTTAATATTCACTAGCATTAACACTATCAAGACTAAGGTGTTTTTTTTTTTTTTTTTTTTTTCGCTTCTCAATCTAGCAGCTAAGTAATCTGAGCTTCATACTTCCCATACATCTAACTTTTGGGCCTGACCAAGTCTTTAACATGGTATTAGACAAAGCTGAAAGGCTTTACAGAAAACTTCTCCATTCTTGCCAGATGCATAGTATACACTCTTCAAATATCAAAAAGATCAGAAATAGCTCACTTCGGTTTGAGATAGAACACAGATTCCTCCAATTTCTCCATTTTCTGAATTGCTTTCTCCAGACCATGAGGAAGATCATAATTGTCACCTTCTCCGATCTCAAACTGCAACTCCCGCCTGTCAAACACGCGATCTCCGTATTTGCCTTCAAATTGGACTGGTAACAAAAAAAAACAAATCAAGACAAACAAATTTGAAGAGGTGTGTGTGGTGAGGGGCAGGTAGCGTAGGCAATACAGGGAATGACAAATTTTCCACCTAAATGTCTTTTTCCTTGAAAGCGGCTACCTAAGCAAGTTATTAGCAACTGGAAGCACATACAGCCTCTGCTGCTAAAGCCAACAAACCCTCCACTCTTTTTTTCAATCCAAATTTTCTTTTTGCTCCAACTACAAGTGTCAGAACAACTTTCCTTCTTGTTTCTCAGTAAATGAAAATATTATTATTATACTGGTCTACCTTTCTTGGTCAAGCGAGCACCTGAGCAGATTCAGAATCTCTGGAGAACACAAGTTCAGTCGCTGCTGGAAAATTTAAACCTCTCTAGAAACAGGAGAATGAAAGGCTACTCTACACTGACTCCTAAGCTACTAAGTAAGGGAAAGAAGCCAGGTATTAGTCTCTCTCAGGACAAAGAGTTGTGGGTGCTAAAAAGGTTCTGCCCTCCCAATCAGGTAACTGACTTACTCTCTACAAGTGCACCCTCATTGGGCTTCGAGTAGCCTTCCCCTTTCTTACGGATTCTTCGGATTATGCCACCGTCTTCATCATCAGTGAGGTCCTCCCCTTTAAACTCAAACAGCTCTATCTGTGGAGAGAAGAAAACACTTGCATTTATTCCCATCGTATCAATCCAGTAACTCATGGAACTCGTTCTCCAGAGATCTTTGAAACTGTAACTGTTTAGGCAGGCACTATCTTAGGCAACGTACTGTAAGATATTGGATAGCTAAGGCTATGCAGCTACTGTATTAAGTCAATACTAGATGGAAACAAGCCTACTGAAATGTCTTAGATTATATCCAGACCTTTAGAGACGGAGGGTGCTGGAGAGCAAAAGCCCTGATTTGCATCTCATTTGTATTTAATTTCTGAGCATACCCTCCCATCTACAGTCAAACTCAAATCAACTTCAAAGGGCTCAGAATTGAGCCCAAACTGATTTCTAACGCTTGTCCTGCAATATTAAAGCAAATTCAAAAACATCATTTCCGCTCAGGTTTCAGCTCTTCCCAACCCGTTTCTTCAACCTCCTACTCTTATGCTAGAGGACAATAATTGCAAAACTTCTGTGTCATCCTTGCTTGTATGTCTCAATACAACTACTGTTCTCATTTTGAGCCTGTTGTATTTTCCCCCTCTAGTCTCACCTTTGTGTACTGTGCGGTCACTTCAGAAAAACAGCTCCAGAATAAAGAAGGAACGAAGATGACTAAACTTTAGCTGCTAACAAAGAAATGTAAATAAGGCATTTTACAATAAAAAGGGAGATCTGGCCCACCTTTAATCTAAATTTGCTACTGCAATAAATTGTTTAGAATTTGTAAGAGCTGATGTTAATGTAAGAGAGATGACTACCCAGCCTGAAGCTTCACGTACACTTTAAAGTCTCTAGTGCAAAACAGAGCTACAGAGCTTGAAATGGGAGTACAGGAGAAGATGGAAAAAGGGTCCAATCACAAAGACAAACTTGGTGTTACTGCTATGAAATTAAGGAAAAAAAAAAAAAAAACTTTGCTATCGTATGTTTGGCAATGGCAAAAAGAGAATAAGAGATCAAGCCATTATAATCAGCATTGTTTAGACTAAGTACTTTTTTTTTTTTTTTAAAGTTCAAGGTTACTGCTGCGGAGGTTCATGACAGTGGACTTAAAACATATCTGGAATACAAAAGGGACTGGATATTCTTCAGTACAAGTAGCACTTCCCACTTTGTATTTTGATGGATACCTAATCTCAAACAACATTCAGACTGAAACAAGCTAAGTCACCTCAGGACAGCCAATTGACGACAATACAGGTTTCCCCAAAATATTTTTTACCTGAACCAAGTTCTATGGAACAGTCCATCAGTTTGGAAAAAATAAAATAAAATAGGAAAAAAGTAAAAAGAATGAGGAAGAAAAAATGTAAGACATCCAGTTTTTCAGACTATAACCAGTAGAAAGACTCCAGATGCTGATATGCCGAGGAGACAGCTGCTGATCTCTTAATAAAGGATCTAGTGAGACCTAAGGCAAGCACATACAAAGCCAGTTATAAGAACGTGCTTTCTTTGTAAGGCAACTCGCATACAATTTTCTGTATCACGTGGCGACAGCACTTGCACAGGAACCATGCTGACTTTGTTTTTTAAATAATAAAAAAGGAAACAGGAGCAAGATAACTAAAGAGTAGAATCTCTTCACTGATTTTAAGTGCCTGAGAGTCTTACCAGTCAGAAACCACTCACACCTAGAACTTTGGAGAAACTTTCTGGATACAATATCTTTCCGGTTCAGGACACAACTGGCACCGGTTACTGGTTGTATCCGGTAATCTGCAGGGTATTTTACCAGGGAAGGCATAAATCCATTACACAGCTTCATTTCCATCTTTCTCCCTTTCCTCCTCTACCTACCACATCTTCACAGGCATAAACAGATGTAAAGGGTCATGAATGAAACTCCAGTTTAAACTGGAAGGTATCTAGAAGATAGAAAGATCAGCCTGACATCATTAAGAAAATCCTAGTAAAAACTGAAAAATCCCGACATCCTATTCCCCTGCTCTAATACCCTAGAGCAAATGGCTCCTCCTTTTTTAGAAACACCTTTCCAGCCTCAGAACCATGCTATTAGAAGGCAAATACTAATACTTATTTCAGCTTATATATATAAAATCAGCATTGATTGAATAGGCTCAGTAGGTAGTTAACTGAAAAAAGGTGAAGTGTCCTTTAAGTGGTAAGACAGTAAATTCCATACCGACTTAAGCAAAGATCTTACGTAGGAAGGTCTCCCTTCCACATTTATGCAAAATTAATTTAATGCAGTACAAGGAGGAGGAGATGCGAAA